TATTAAAAAAATACTCTTAACAAATGACTTAATTCTCATGATTCATGAAAGTAAGAAAACAAATAACAATCATATACTTAAATAAAAATAATTACTTAAAATTCCTAAATAATGTAAATAACTATTCAATACCTTTATTCTTATTCCTCATCCTTTAACCTTTATGCAGTTGGTAATACTGAGCAATCTATCGATTTGTTGGAGCCCATTATGGATGCACAAAACAACGAGAATTCAAATGCAATAATGGCACAACTAGAGGCTCCTGCTCCACAAGCTACTCTGGTAGCAAATACTTCAATGCCAAATCAAGGTAAGGCTACATTATTCAATCAATGCCATCTAAAATGACTCAAACATATATATAATCATTTGGATCGAATGACACCATTAACATTTGCAGATACAAGTCAGTCTGAAGCTGCTAAAAGAGCAAGAGATCAGGCTTATCGGGTGCGGCTGAAGGTGAAGAAATTAATATATTATATGGCTTTATTTATTTTGTTTTATACACTTTCTATTTTAAAAATAATTGTTGTTTTTAATTTTTTTTTAAATTAGAGATTTAGCATAATATTTATATTTATTTATAATACATTTTAAAAAATAAAAGATGAAAGATTTTTTGTGATTAAATAATTAATTAAAATGAATAAAAAATGATAAGATTAAAATAAAAAAATACTTATCCATCTTAAAGTAACAATTAATTTAGGACAAATTTAAAGAAAAAAATAAAAATTATTTTAAAATAAAAGGCGTGGTTTATAATCACAGCAAGATTAGGCTTGTTTGTATTTTACGTTTTGCAGAAAGATAAGACAGAAATGATGGATAACATGAAGGCACTTACTCAAGAGAACAAGGCATTATGGGATGAGAATGGAAACCTACAAAGTGAAAACACAGATATGAACAAAGTTTTGCAATCTCAGGCAAAGGAGATAGATCAACTCCAACGCGATTTCGACCTATTGAAGCATGAGAATAAGAAGCAAAATTTACTCATGCAGATACTCTCGGAGAAGCTGGTAAGTCTTCATTTGAGTTCTTTCTCTGTGTACCTCTATGTGGCAATGCAAACGTACGCTTAATTTAGAAAAGGTTGCTAGTACCAAAAAAGAAATTTAGAAAAGGTTGAGCCTTTTTTTTGTTTTTTTGTTTTTAAATTTAGAGTGTGTTTAGTATAGAATATTTCTAATAAGTCAACTTTATGTTTGAAATAAATAACAAATTAGATAATTAAATATTATCTCTAAAAGACTATTTACATCCAGTTTTTAGAATAAATTTATGGTCATCATTTATTATGGTATCGGTGTTATATAGACTATATTTATGGAGACATAATGACTTCATATTGATCCTAAATGTAAGGAAGACATATTCAGTAAATGAAAATTTTTCACATTATAGAATAACAAGAACATGCATTTCTTAATATTTAAGAAGGGTTACTCTATTTATTGTTCATTAATTTTTGGACGAGGATCTTTGCATATGAGTATCTCTCTTTGGGGAGCAAACTTTTTGCGGGAGAAATGGTTTTTACCTTAGGGTGTTTATTAATGATGATCTGAGTGAGGCCAGCAGTAGCTAAGGAGAGATACAAGAATAAACCTTGTTCTCTATTTGAAAAAGAGAGAAGTCATGTGTAGATACATACAATAAAATAAAGATTTACTAACCAACAAAGACTTAACCCAATGGTTAAGATAGTGCACTTGGTTATTTTATTTTATTTTATTTTGATCAGCAATATAATTTTATTAATAGGAGTACAAGAGGTACTCCTGCTCTTTACATACTGAAAGTAAATAATATCTCAACAATAATGCATATAGAGTACTTAAACCCTCTTGAATTCCTATCAAACTCCCAAAACTTGAAATACATAGAATAATATTTCTAGAATCTTAATCCAATAGTTTAAGGCCTCCCTTGGGTTGTTATACCATAGTTCCTCTATCAAGTCAAACAGTGACCTTACCTAAATCCAAGAAAGAGATCTAAATTTGATAAGATTAAGCACATCATTGTGAGAATTATCCTTGCTGTTGAATGTCCTTTGATTCCGTCTTAGCCATGGTGACCAAACCATAGTGAACTAAATAATTGACCAAAAATCTCTTTGCACTCCTTTTGGGACTAAACTAATGTGTTGTAGGAGGCATCCACTACAAGTTCCATAAGTAGCAACCTCAACACCCCACCATGCATAATATGAAGACTAGACTTCCCAAGACTCTTCACATGATATCAACAAGTGATCAGCATTTTGTTCATATTGTCCATAGAAAGAGCACATAGAATCTTGTTCTAACTACAATAGCCCTCTCCTAGCTAAATTTGCTTTTGTTGGCAATTAGTCTTGTAGTGCTTTCCATGCAAATGCTGTTACTTTAAGTGACACCTGATTATTCCACACAAGTTTGAAATCAATAGCCATCCCATGCTAGAGTGTTGCATTTAGGTACCTATAGGTTGATTTCATAGTGTACATGCTCTCTTGTCTTGCTTCCATGTTTATGTGTCCTGTTTGTCTTGTTTGAGTTTAATTCCTTCAAGTTTTGCAATCAAGTCCTACAAAAGAAGATTTTCCCACCCAAACAAATTCCTCCTCCATCTCCACTACCATTACCACCTACCCTCTTTCCATATTCCCATCTCCACAACCATAGCATTTTTATTATTTGTTAACATGAATAGCCTACATTTTCTCTCTTTTAAAGTTCCACTACCTAACCAATTTTCATGCCAAAAAGAAGTGTCTTTTCCCTTCCCCACTGCTTTTATGATCCCCCATTCAGCCACCCCCTTCTAGTTTGGACAAGATCATCTAATCCCTACAAGTCCTTCCACCATAATAGAACTATTTGCCATACGCTCACACCCATCCCAACCTTTCTGGCCCCCACCCCTGTATAATTCCGTTACAACCTTTCTCCATAGGCTTCTTTTTCTATGAAAAATCTCCATTTCCATTTCCCTAAGAGTGTAGCATTGAACTTCTCTAGATTCTTTACTCTTAGTGGTGGACTTGGTATTTAATTTTAGATTCATGGTTAGAGTCTTGTTTAAAGCATTTTTGTTAGATTTTTTATTTGATTGTATTGTGATATATATATATACACTTAAGATTCATTTACAATTCTTACACATTACATTTATATAAGATTTTAATTTTTAATTTTTTTATTTTTAATGATCGAGATTTATTCACTTTTTACATATTTATTAAAAATAATTATATTTTTCATCTAACCATAAAAATAAAAAAAATTATTAAAATTTTATATAAGTGTTACATACAAAGTTTATATGTAAATAAATTTTTATTTTATATATGTATATAATATTTGAGGATAATGATATAGGAGACAGTTCCTGTGAGACGAAATTAAGGGCCCATCTACATGGCTTGCCATGTAAATAGACACATGGCACACTTGCTATGTAAATTGATTTAAATGATTGATTTGGATTTTCATTAAAAAAAAGTAAAATTTTTAATTCGTCAATATCGATTTATCTTCCGTCTTCATCTTTACAAAGCCCTAACCCTAAGCATCTGAACAAAGATGAGGAGAACCAACCAAATCAAAGAGGAAAAACAACCAAATCGAAGAGGAGAAACAGACGATCGCGGTGGACTAACACAGCATAGTACTCAAAAGTGCCTTTTTGGGGTAAATGGGGGAGCCTCCCAATGGAGTTGGACCAATTCATAGCGGATTCCGAGAATTGAGGATGTATCTTGAAGGTGAAGATGTGGCCATGGTTGAGCTCGAAACTCAAAACCCAGATGGGAAATAAGAACATAATCGCTTTCAAGCAAAAGCCCATTTCTATCTCCACCCTTTAGGAAACTCCATAAAGATCTACATTAGAAAGTTGAAACCTCTAGCCAAGATTGAATGTGGGTT